AGAAAGGTTGTTGTTAGCGTATTTCCTTCAAAATAGGGATTTATTATAAGTCCGGAAAGAAGGTGTTGAAATTGTGTTAGGATTTGAAAATTTTCAGCTTTGACTCAAATTCAATTTTCACTTTTTCAAAAAGATCAAATTTTAATATTTAAATGTCTAAATATTGTTTGTGTGTTCAGTAATTTTAAACTTTAAACTATAAAACTTATTTTAAACAGTCGAAGCCTAGATCTTGGCGGATTTTTCTAATAGAAGAATTTTTTCAAGGCATGGAAAAATTAAAACCATATCTTAAAGGAAATACGGTATAGTTTCAGACGCTATTTCACCAATAACACCATTTTAAAGGCCTAGTGAAGCTTAAAAAGCTACATACTTGCGTGGTGGGCCCTCCAATGACAGTCGTTGTTGGTCGACAACAATCGTGTACATCATGGCAGCTATTATGTTGTGACTGCCTTGATGATGTTGGAATGGGTTCATCGGGTGGTGGGCTCCCATCTAATCCCAAAAGAGGCGGTGTCGGTCCGTAGAAAGCCGCCTGGCGGAACAATAAGCCGTTTTGAGAATCCTTTCGGTCCAGTGATGATTCACGAACGCGATCAAAGTAGGAGAAGTCGGCAAAATTGGCCGGATCCGATTGTTGTTCAACCATTCTTCGTTACGACATCTGTAGCGTTTAGATAAATAAATAACAAAACACGAATTTATCCTGAGAACACAATAAATTATTTGCGATCGGGTAGGAATTAAGAAATCTGGATGTTTATTTATGCAGTGAAAACGAAGCAAGGGGTTGATGGGCGGGCGATGGAAAATGTAATGAAAAATTGATAGGTTCGTTCGTGGGACATTTTCCTAGATTCACTTCAAGTTGAGGGATCTCAGAGTTCGCGTTAAAGTCGATTTTTCGGAACGAGATTGGAATACCTAACGAGGGATCGTTTTTTGGGGCAAGGTTGGACATCATCATGTTACATCCATATTCGATAGTTTTTGGGGCCGGTGTTTTTGGCAAAAAGTAGAAATCAAAAAATAAAGGCGATAATTCAATATTAGTTTTTGCTGCGGAGCAACGTCCAAAACAATATTCTACTTTTAAAGTACGTTTCAGGCCGGCCCTACCCAACTACAAATGAAAAAACACCTCCTAAATAGCACTCAATTTCATGAATACGCCACCATTATACCCAGAATTCATATCGAACACAGTCACAAAAACAATCAGCAGCACCTCACCGCCGGCTTTTTGTGGTGACAATACCGGGTTGTTGTGCCGGTGTGGGTCTGTGGGTCATGTGGGTCCCAATGACGGGGGATGAGAATTCAAAACCGTACCTTCTGCCCATTTGACTTTTTGTCTAGATGAGAAAGGGAATTCTGATCTCATAGCTCACGGGTTAGAGGGATTAGCCCCCCCCCCCTCCAGAACCAAACCCGTCATCCCCTTTCCCTTCGCCCCGAGTCTCCGCAAAATGATTTCATAAATGCGGGGCCCGCCAGGTGAGACCATTTTCCACTTAGGGCCCCCGAGAAATCGGGAGGGCAGCGGGCAAATTCACCATAAATCTTACCACACCACTTACACACGTACCATATGGGGGTATCTGGTCATGCTAAATCGAATTACATTTACTTCACGTTAACTTGTTGATATCGGGGGTGAGGTTGGTACAGTGGAATACTAAAAATAGGTACAGGGGGTAGGTTGGTTGTTTTGAGGGGGGTTCTTGTTAGATTCTTGAAGGAATAAGAAATCCGTTAAAAATTTCGGTTACAGTAATTCTAACGCTTCAAAATCAATTAAAACGCGCGGTAGGGAATTGCTATGAATTATGTATTGCTACAAAAAACTTTTACTCCTTATCTTTTAAAATTAAATTTTATTGAATTTTCCGGCGCTTTATGAAATCATTAGAATTATTTTAAAATGTATCCTCAGCTATAAATAAAGCTGAAACATAAAATTCAAGACGTCCCCTTATGGCTATTTGTGTGCGCTAGCACAACAAATGACCTCATTTGAAGCCGAGCTCAGCGCGCAAATGAACCACACGCAAAATCTCCAACCGATAGCCACCCCCGAAAAGTCGCTCCAGATCGGGAATTTCTAAAAAGCAACCGGACATACGTCTTTTAGACTAAATATAGGAATTGAGGAAAGCCCCCGCCAATTGATGAGCGGGTGGAAAAGTGCATGAAAAAGTTTGGGATTAATTAAGAAATCAGGTTTTGACAGGGATCTTCAGCCCCAAAAAATCCCTTAAACATTTAAAACCAATTGATAAATTATTTAGAAAAACCATACCCTCATATTGCCGTAACATTAAACTGATACTGTGTTTTGCTCAGCAAGACCATACCTTTTGTCATATCGAGGGCGCTTAACATTGTGAAAAGACACGATCTGTCTAGAAATTCGGAAATTTTGAACCAACGTCTTACTTGAAATCCATCCCACTAGCCTATCGTATCCTCTTTGAAAATTCAAACAAAAGAAATGAAATCCCGCCTGACTCCAAATGAAGCCCCTCTCGCTCCTGATCCAATTCGAAGAACCCCTCAGAAAAATAGGGATGACTGAGAGAACGGGACAGGAGGGTTAATCTGTCTAAAACCCGGATCAAAACCCCACGGTTCAGCGCGCCTATATTTTTTCGATTTATCCAAGCAAATCTGGGGATAAGAGTTTTTGCGCATTTTCAATAATCTCCAAGTAAAATTCTTCCAGTGACTTTAGAGGGGGGATGATCCGGGATTGGGTCTCAATGACAATCAAAACGGGAATATATTAAAGGGTGATGCCTGAAAAGTGTGCAACGGCTGTTTGCCAGGTGCAAATTGGCTTATTGCCAATTTTCAGGGCATTGGCGGAGGGCTTGGAATTCTGAAAATCTCTTCAAAGATTTGTGGGATTCTCTAGAATTGAGCAAACTTTCCACAACGAATCCGTATCGTGCAGTGAGCAAGAGAAAGACAGAGGGAGAGTTTGGGTGGTGGTGGGTGTTTCGTGGGAATCGTCGCTAATGACTATATGGGAAAGCAAATATGGGGCTCATGGCAAGGCAGGGCGTGCTCAAAAAACACGAGCCAATGCCCTGAGGCTCTCTGGAATATCTGGAATGCAGGGAGGAATAAAAAGGAAAAGGGGGAGGAAGGTAAGTAGGAGGAGACAGACGTGTTTTGGATTTGGGCTCGAAAGAATTGGGTGGGGGTCAGAAGGTAGATTAGATGAGTCATAAAGTCATCAGGAAGTGGGAAGTGAAAAAGATTAACGGGATCGGGACAGGTTGTTGAATTTTTACTTTCTGATTTAATTCATCATCTGACCAAAAATCAAAGATTTTCGGCACTGGTCAGGTTCGAACCACCGTGATGTGAACGCTAGGTGATTACAAAAATTTTACCCAAGTCCTTACTAACAACTTGTATATAAGAAGCATCTTATCATTAGTACGTGCCCATGATACCTCAGCCCGTTAAATAACTTTTAGAAAACGGTTCTGAATTTCTTCGATAGATCTGCGAAAGCCAACTTCCTCTAACACCAAACTACACTCCTATAACCCTCCGATAAATAACCTATTTCCAAACCGGAAGTACCCCCAATCTGACAATAGACCCTATGAATCGCATTATGAATACCCAGACAAAAAAGGGCTTCATCCACTCTCGGGAATACGGTAGTCGACAGGAACGGGAGAACGGCTGTGACCCAGTGTATCGGAAAAGAGCCAGGAGGCTGAGAAAGACATATATGGGGAGGGGCTCCGATCTTCATCTAATAATCCCGGCCAATTCCATGGCAACCGGTTAGAAAAGGAGGGGGAACGAGCGAGAGACACATTGGCTGTCCACTCAACACACCCGGAGGCCCTATACAAGAAAAGTGGATAAACCGCCGTCGGGGGGCCCGCAATACCTACAATCTCAGCCTGGACGCTTTTTGTTTTGGAGAGCCGGTTGTGATCGGGTGTTAGACGGAATGTGGGGGGTTAGTAATAAGGGGATGAAGAGATATAACAATTCGGGATAGTGGAATTTGTGAAGCGGAAAAGGTTGCAAAAAGGAAGAAAGACACTTGATAAAACCAAAATGCATAAATTTAGTTACTTTTTTTTTAATAAAAAATTTTTTTTATGTCTTTTTTTTTTCTATTTTTTTTTTTTTAAAAAAATTTTAAATAAAAACTAAAGACCCTCCGAACAGAATCGGCTATAAATGCTTAGTACAAACAAAAAATCTCAAATTTTTAATATCCCGCGAAAAATTACTTCTTTTTTAAGCACACATTCAGATTTTCAAATCTTACAAATAAAACCGAAAAATTCCATAGTATCCATGCCTTTAAAATTGTTGCATTATAGAACTCCAATCCATTCATAAAACTACTCCCATTTCCGGAACAACTTTTCCCAAAAAAAGACTCGAAAATTGACTGACAAATGAATGGAATGCAACAGAAAGACAGAGAACGGGCGAGAAACGACGAGGAGGCAGAGTCGGTGGTGGTGCTCCATGCCCCCCCTTCGACACTTCCGTCCCATTGTCCCATTCGGCAGAAGACTGGCCCTTTGCCCGCCATTCAGGTGCTCAACATTTGCCCCCTCACGCGGAACCAGTAATTTTTAGGAGGGGCCACCCAGTAATAAATTTTGCGGGTTTTTATGAGGTGACGTCTTGCATAGTTTTAAGGAGCAAGGAAGGTGTCGGCCTAACGCTCAGCTCGAGATATCGATTAGTATTTCAAGGATTTTTCAAGCAAGCAGAATCGGAACGTAAATACCTTGAATTTTGACATATTTGGCAGGTATTGCGCGCCAAATAGTCTTTATCAGCATCTCGACACACTAATGAGCGCCTCAGAAGCGCGCAGATGTTGTTATCCCGCGCGCCCCTTGTTTTTGAGCGGAAGAGCCTGCGCAAACCCAAAGCCTTTTTCCCGCGATTTTTTTTTTTGTTTTATTGGTTTTGTTCCGAATGCCTCTAGCCCCTGTTCACCCACTTTTCGTTTCCAATTCCGTGTTTGAATCTTGGATGTGGACGTTGGGTACGGAGTCTCGACGTGGTGATAATCTAAACCAGAATATTAGCAATAATTTACTTATTACTTACCGGGCTGATAGTAATGACCGAAATTGCGTGGAGTAGCCTTGCACTTTCAGGATATCGGAGGACACCTAAAAATATTAATTTGAATTAATTATTAATTGAATTTACAAATTAAAATTCCAGAGGCTTAGTTTTCTATGGCTTTTGTCCGGACATACAAACTGATTTACAGACTATTTGAGTACCGAGAACATGCTAGCCGCTCGATCACGAGTGCGTTTTTCCGGATTTTTCTTGCGAGGATCTGTCCTCCTCCGAGCCATCCTTGAATATGAGGTTTCGCCCGGAATCCTCATCAATGATGTAGCTAATTCAACATCTTCATCTCTTTCATCTCCATGTGCCCAATCCCCAGAACATGATGATCCCGATGAGTCCACGCTCGATGTACGCTCTTCACTCAACGGTTCCATGCCCATCTGGGAGGGTGGTGGTACCTTTAGAATTGCCATACGATGAGAGAGAGAGAGAGAGAGAGAGAGAGAGAGAGACTGAGAGAGAGAACAAAAATGTGGGACAACTGTAGAAAAATGAAAGTAAAAGAAAGGCTATGAGAGCTAATTTTCATATTTTGCCCTACCCCCAACTACTGCACTCCATGTTGTTCCGACTGCGCCTAACAACGCCATTTTCTGCCAGACTAATCTTGTATCGCCCCTTAATCTACCCAACAATGCTTTTAGTTAGAAAACGATGCCAAAACCCAAAAATTGGCCTCCTTGATCTCTCTTCCAAGCGATGCCTCATCTCCAGTCCCGTTTTGACCGTAATCCCAAGAAATCTCGGGCTCCCAGTTTTCCGAACGGTGACCCATCCTCCCACGACATTATAGGCTGCGCAAACAGTCTGGCCGAGAGCAGTTTGGGCCACCGAAATCCGGCAAAAACCCGCTACAATATTCCGGCCCACGAATTCTATACGAAAAATGGTCTTCAAGGATGGTGGAATGGGACGGCTTTTTGCCGAATGAAAGAAGGGTAGGGTTAGAATTGGAGTCTTCTGGTTCGTGATCGGATATGAGGGTTCTTTTTGTGTGAATTTTCAGGGTTACGGTACCGATTTCCGCCGGAAAAACATGGAGTTGCGATATGGCTCCGGTTCCGTAGACTCGGGAAATGAGAGGGAGGGGAGAGGAAATGTGACATTTTTGGTAGTTGATAGGTTTCTAAACTTGGTTGATAGATTAGTGGCATATGACAACGGATATTTTTGTTCAATTTAAATTTTTATTTTTAACATATAAACGAAGTTTATATGGAAAAAAACCCATAAACGTAGATAAGCCAAACTTTAGGACTAACAGAAATAACGTAAGAAGTCAAAACAACTACGCTGCAACAAAACATTTCCGAGGTTTGCCCACATTCCAGTCAAACCAAAAGACGAAAGTTTCCCCCGTTGCTTTTTGCTGAAAACTCGATTGAGCCGTTTGGTGGTGTGAAGAGGGCAACAGAACCCCGCGGCCTCCTAGAATCGAATCTCATCGGATTTGCCCCTGGTTCCAAAATTTACACACATCCTTTACCACGTCATTTTTACTGCAAAAAACAAAAGCGGGCGTTAAAGCAGCAAAACACCTTATATGTAGGCGTAGGCTTAGGTTTACGTGTAGGCTTAGGCTTAGCTTAGGCTTTAGTTCAGAGCTCGATCCTTAAAAAGGGTGCCCCGAATAATGCAATATCTGGAATCGCAAAAAAATGAAAAATAAGAGGCGAACGATTTGAAGGGCTTCTGGGAGAGCTTCCGGGAACAATGTGAATAATTGACAGATAGAGAGCGGCCTGGGATGGGGGCTCGGCGAAAAGGACGGACCTGTTCGCAAGCATCAATGAACAACACTTTTTGGATAGCAATCGAGAATATCCTGCAATTTCGGCAAAAGCACGAAACAAGTCATAATTAATAAAACTAGAGCTAACAAGCCAATTCATGACTTTCCGAGCCTAAAGCGGGTGCGAAACGGAAACCTCAATATACCCTAAATTTTTCCAGAGCAATCAAACCTCTATTTAAAGCATCAAAAAAAAACCAAGTAAAAAAATCAAGGCCTACTATGTCTCCAAAAGCGGAAAGGTTTAGGGTGGTCCGGGTTGGACACTTTGTTCTTCTTTCCATGAGAAGCCATAAATCAGTACCCTCAAGTATTTGGGCCATGAGCTTAAACCAGGGCCCACTCTTAGCCTGCAGCTACACGCAACTTTCCCCCCCCCCCCCGCAAAAGGTTGACCCGGAAATTCTCGGCATGAAATCAAAAGTGTCCATGTTTTCGGGTGGATGGGCGCGAGGGGAGGCGTTTTCTAGGATGGGTCCAGGAATGAAAAATGAGTGGTGTGCAAAAGCACGGCAAGAATTTTTGTATACAGCCACAAAGGCTAAATTATAAAGTTTTAGCACGTTCCTATGCGTGATGCTAAACTAGTGGGGGAGCCCCCAGAATTGGTCTAACAATTGCAAAAAGAAAAAAAGGAAAGCCAGGATTGGGTTAAAGGGAAAAAGCATAGATTTAGGGTGTCGTGTTTCACGATCCAGGGAGGAGGAGGGAGCCGAATCTGGGCAGAGGGGAGAGCCACATCGACACCTCATCCCCGGAACTCATTACCGACACCGGGCACACAACCAACCCCACAGCCAACCCTCCAATAGCACTGAATTTCGGAAGAGACATTTAAGGGCTGCTGGGCAACATCGAAAGAGATGGAAAACCTAAGCATGCTATTTTCCGGGTGGTTAAAATCCCCAACAAGAAATTTAGTCTATCTATGTTTAATTCTATGGCCTATCTATCTATAAAAATCTACGAAAATCTATTTTTAAAAAGATGGGTTTTCAACACTCGCCACAGAAAGAATCAATTTTAAAAAATGAGGAATATTCCTAAAACTACAACAAATATGGAGCGATGAACACCATCACGCCCGGCCCTTGAATACATACATCAAACCCCGAGAAATATCTAACAGCGAGACAGGGCTCAACGAGCAACGCCCGGCGCTTCTGAGGCCGCTGCGGGCTTGAGTGGGTGCCGCCTCACAACGAAATAACACAAAAAAGGGGCAAATGGGTGGACATATGGCCCCGGATGAGCACTTCTAGCCCTCCACCACCACCCGACACCCCCCCTCCCACCAACTTTGTTTGAATTATGGATCACAATTTTATTGGGTGCTCGCGAGAGGTGTGACTGTGAAAACAAAGCTAGATTTGCAAAATAAATTTAATTTAAGTTTTGCAGGGCCAAAACTAGAGAGGTTACACTAGAGAGAAAGAGAGAGGAGAGAGAGAGAGAGAGAGAGAGAGAGAGAGAGAGAAGAAAGAGTGAAAGAGATAGATAGAGAGATAAAGAGAAAGGAGAGAGAGAGAGAGAGAGAGAGGAGAGAGAGAAAGAGAGAGAGAGCAGCAATGGATGTGGAAAGTATACCCTTTACAAAAATTGTTGCGAAAAGCTAAATGTCTCAACTCTCGAGCTTTGTATCCGACCTGGCCCGTTATGCTGACGCCGCGTCCATATGCGAAACATCTCTACGACTACGAGATACATCAAAACTACGAACTACAAAACCTCTCACTAAATACGCAGAATACCAACAGACACATTCTGAAACACTAGAATAATAATCGATCACACCGGTCGGCAGGTGAAACGCCGACTCCTCCTTTTTAGATGTTTGATGGCAAAAACTCTCCCGCAAAACACAAAAAATATTGACCTGTGCGATGGGGTTATTGAAGAGCGGCTTGAACTCGGCGCCCTCGGCTTGTACTTCGTGTAGATCACAGCTTCTCCCATGGCGCCGATCAAGAGTGCTGGCGGTCGAGCTGAAAGAGATATGTAAATTCAAGTACTTTAAAGTATCATTTTGAGCTGTACGACCCCAATCTAGCCTTGGCCCTTCTACCGTACCCCTGCAGAACCGGTTGGCCGTATGGCGAATGGTTTGGTCGTACGATAGGGCCATAATAAGCATGTAGGACTGAGTCGGAAAACTTCTTGCGACGTCGGCCACCCCATGCGCCCACGAGGGCGCCACGGGAAAAACGCCGGGCTGCTGGCCGCGAGCCTGCCAGCGTTTCCATAGGTTCGTAGGAAAATTCGTCGGTTTCGGGTGATTCGTCCGACATCACCAAAATATTATTGTTAATACAAGGAAAACTCGGAGAAGACTTTGAAGAAAATCAAGACAAACATTGGAGGATCAGAACTATAATTAACCGGCTAACTTAAGAGGCAATTAACAAGCGTTGTAAGATACCATTTGGCTAACTAGATAACTTTGTTTAAGAATAAAATGCGCCATAAACGGTGAAGAATGCATGGTAAATCGTAGTGTTAGGCAATATAGCTTAATTTGTATTAAAAAAGCGCGATTTTTGTGTCTAATTAGTTTTCATTAACTGCATCAGAAAAAATAAACGAAAATCGCAGTAAGATTGCGACATTTACTAAAACTTTAGGTCTTAATTTCCAATTAAAGTTAAAGTTTAAGTTAAAGGCTTAAGTTTTCAATTAAAGCAAATGAAAGAAATTAGTGAGGCTTCCAAAGCCATGCAAAAAGGATCGAATGTCGGAAGCCAACTCCCCCCCCAGGGGCGTTCTTGTCTCTTTGATAAAACAAAAGAGTACATGAGACACTGCTTACGGGTCAGAACAACAGCCGTTTCCTGAATTTTGCTCGAGACAGATTCCCCGGTACCAGGAAAAAAAATGAGCGCCATGTAATGCAACACCAAACATCGGAAATGAGTGCCTTTAATAATTAATAGACAAAGGTTTGTATGGTTGGCTTGGCTAAGGGTTATCCATTTCAAAAGGAATCCGTTTTCGCGCAAAAATACCCGCTGGTTGTGTTGGTCCTAGACCACAGCCAGGCATCGAATGAAAAATCAGAAAGTTGGCATTTTCGGGGGCAATAATTAAACTTAAAAGCAGTTAATTGCTGCAGGGAGGCCATAACCCGGGAAATAAACCCGGGATTAGAACTGAATATTCAAAAGCAAGACTTCCGCCGATGAGCCACCCGCCTCCAAAATGGGTGGTTGAATAACAAATGGACGAGAGGACAAAAGTGTCCCAACAAATGAAAAATAAGTCTCGTTGGAAATTGGTTCCGTTGCATTAAAGCCAAACTTTTACCGTATTGGTCGGAGAATGTAGTTTTTTTTGCAGAGCTTCCGGAATTCGTCAAGGGAGCAATTTAAATAGTGTCGTAGGAAGATTACCTCCATTTGGGTGGTTCCTAGCAGCGCTTCTCTCCATAAGGGATCAAATACAACAGGAGTTCTCGATCCCTTTAAAGGTGCTCGGTCAGCAGCACCTTTTTTTATTTTTGGGGGGGGAAAAAAACCCAAGGCCCCCCCCCCCCCCCCCCGGGAGCCCCCCCTAACCACCCCCCCCCTAAAATTTTTTCCAAGTTTGGGCGAAAAAAGGCGGCGCTCACAACACCCCCATAAAAAAACGTATTCGGTATTTTCTGATACAAGCTCGTTAATATAAATAAATGTACAGAAAATGCTAAAAACCGTGAAATTAAAAATACTCAAGCACCACAGGGCAGGATGGGGTTGGCAGGGCATGGCCACCGAGCGGAAAAGTCAATTAGGACGGGTGGGGGGAGAGCGCTAGAATGTGATTTCTCCGTGGCGGGACCCAGTGTGAGTGAGGGGAAGGTGGCGGTTGGCCCATATCTTTTCTGTAGGGTAGTAAGTAGTAAGGACTCATCAAATTGAGTCCATCCGGGGTGGGGGTGAAACGACCACCCTTTTGGTGACGGATTTATTGCTGAAAAATGCTATGGGGGTTCGAAAATTCCAAGGCAATACCGGGAAGTGGGTAGCGCTAGAAGTCACGGTATCCATTTGTAGTTAAGCTGGGCCTACTTAAATCAAATCACGTTCAAACATGCGCAAATTCAGCTTTAGGTTCTTATTCCAAACTCAAATTTTTTCTATGAAAATCCGCTGGAGTCCCTTTTTAACGCACATTTGCATCGAAAATGCAAATTTTCTTGTTTTCCATGAAAAGATTGCAGGATTAATTTAATAAAAAAGCTAAAACCTGATTAAAACCCCCAGATTGAGTTAGATTTTCTCGTAAAGTTAAAACATCGGAAACATCATAACCGATTAAAAGAAAATCTCTTTGAATTTTTTAGATTTTAAAAAACCGCACAAAAAAAGCGTGAAAATCTTCAAATAGTTGTCGCCGAATAATAATGATAAACCTTAACTTGCAAATGACGAGGCCAAAACTTGAAATATCCAAAAAAATTTGGAATCGAAAAACACCCTCCATTGGTTCCGGGATCGGGTCATGCTGTATTCGGATGAGGAGCGTGACAGCCAGTCATTCGCCCTTTTTCCGGAGCACTAGACCCAGAGCATCCATTCTAATATCCAAAAAATGGTTGCCTATCTCACCCCGCTGCCAACAATTCCAATTGCACATGCCGGCGGATACAAAAAGCACCTGGTGCAATTAAATGGAATTTCGGTCTAGAAACGGTGGCAAGTGGGCTAGGTGTATTTTTAGTTTATGATCGTGGGCGCTAGAAAAGGCAGTTTGTAAAAAAGTTAGGTAGTTTATTGTTTTAATCGATTACATTGAGCGTTTTTGAAGTAGTGCAGTGTAGTCTATGACCGCAAATAACATCCGGTTGCCCTGGCTCGACTAATCTTAATGTAAAAGGCTAACCTCAATTTTGCACATTTTTGGACACAGTTTTTTATTGAATTTTGCATCGTTAGCAAATAGAAAGACACAAAAATAAAGAAAAATGAAAAGAACCTGTTTCTCCGGAATTCCAAGGCTAAATTTGAATTTTGCAAAGGAGACCTGCCCATTCACCCCATCTGGCCCATCCCCTCGACCACATCAACCACTTTTTAACGTGACAAAACCCCTCCAGCCCAATTCCGCCATAAATTTCTCAAAAGCTTGACAGCCGCTTCTGCCTGGGGCGATGCTACTACAGAAGTCTGGCCAGGCGAGCAAATAACACCCTGAAATATCCTGAGCCAACTGCAGGAGCTTCAATGAATTAGTCACGCCTACGGGTCGTAGATGCGATTAGCACATTTTTTTCGGACATGGATATAGAACCCCAGGGGAATGCTTAGAGTCAAGGAGGTGAAATCGGGTGGAAAGAAAGTGTTTTTGTAGGAAATGATATCCAGATTTTCAGAAAATACGTCATGGGACGGCGAGCATTCAAGTGAAAAATCAGATGTAAATACTGAAAAGAAACTGAAATTTTTTTTATCTGAAATAAGATGAAAAATCAGATGTAAATGGCAGCCGAAAATAATTGCCCAATTTTCAAAAATCCGGACAGAACGCGGAAATTTCGAGAATCTAATTTTTGGTTCATAGGGCGACAATTCTACAGAATCTACAGGATTTAGGGAGATCCTTGATTACCATTCCAAAATGTATGCTATGCAGATTTGCTCATTCGAATGCATAGGATGCCCCGATTTTAAGACCCCCGAAAGCGAAAAAGCACAATTTAACGGCACCCCGCTTGATTGTGCTCCGCCGGCGAAAATGAAAGAACGGGCTGCATAGACCCGGGGATGAAAAGCCGCGAGCAAAAGAAATTGGAAAATGTGGGAATTGAGGAGGGGAAGGCTCGAGTCGTTAGCGGTTGTCTCTCGGACCTCGTAATATGATTTTCTACCGGATATGTTGCTAACCGCGGGGAACGATTCGGACCAAATTTCCCGGCCTAAATGGACATGGAAATAGAAACATCATAGTTTATCGCTGAATTGCCGGAAAGACCACGGTGTTATTGAGCTGTATAGCCGACGTTCCCAAATTTCACGCGAACATTCAGGGGATTAGAGAAAAGGAATATTTTAATTGCAGCATTTTGCTCTAGAGAACATTGTAGATTCAAAAACAGATTGAAAAGCGTGGGACTCAAACGGTAAAAAGGACTCACAATTGCCTTGGAGTTCCACCCGTGGTGTGTCCTTTGACGAGAACTCTTGGATGGCCGGGTGTCGGAGTGGAGCCACTGAAATTATTCCAAAAATAGATATTGATTGCTAAATATACTAGGTATTTTATATGTTTTCTTTTGTCTTTCGGTGGATATTTGGAAGAATAGATTGCATGTTTCACACTTTGTTAAGTTAAGGTAAAATTGGGGACCGTACTGCAAAGGGCTCTAGGGAAATTTGGTGATCTTCGGATTCTCAAACCGTTTGAAAAGGCGTTCTATGTAATTCAGTAATTTTCTGTTGAGAACCTTCTATTAAGACTGGAGGGTGATCCATGGAACGAGTGATAGTGCCGTAAAAAGGGTTGATTAGGCCTGGGGCCCTTGCGAGATCTGCGATGACTTGATGGCCGGTCAGGATCGTCAAGCGACGTCTGATAATTTCCCCGACGAGCTCCATGAACAGAATGACGATCACGAAGGAAACCACGATTTGGGTCCGAGCCAGAATGGGCAAGGATTGCGTGGAGACGATCCATCGGCTCTGGATTTTAATTTGTAGCTCGTAGTACATCGGAAAAAATTGAGGAAGAGAGTGCAAAATTTCAAATTTAATTAATTTAAAAACTCTATATCGTATATTTTTAGCTAATCACCCGCCTACAATTACCCATCTACCAGTCACCTGCCCGGTCCAGACCTTAAGTCGGGCGGGCTAGGCCAAATCCCGGCAAAAACGGCACAAAAACATCTCCAAAATTAGAGCCCCGGTCCATGAATGACGTGGCCCTAAAAAGAAGGTGTCCAACCGGCCGGTCAGCAACGATGGAATACTTTAGAAAACCCGCTAGGCTGCTCAATTAACCATTAATGAAGTGCATGGGTGGGAATGGAGAGAAGCCGAGCCCAATTTTATGGTGATGCTTCGAAATGGATGATCATTTCGATACAAGAGTGGGCAAAAGTCGAGTTTCTGGGGGTGCTGAACTCTTGGTGGGCAAACTTTCTGGGAGTTAAAATTGGATTTTGGTGGTTGAGGGGGAACAAGTGAGAGCGACTAGGGGGGAATGGAAAAAGGCTGGCGGGAGAAAAGCTCGGGATTATCGTCTGGAAATCCGTCGGGGATTCCCTGAG